ATTACCGAAGGGAAATCTAAGTCGAAGAGATTTCTAAAAGTGAATATCTTAGCATATGCCAATCGCATTACATAGATATCTGTTCCGTTGCGCCAAAGACGGTTGCAACGCTGAACTGCTTGCTTCGTGACGGATAGACATCAGTGCGACTTCTAGGTTGCTGCCAGATACGTGACAGTAAAATTCTTTGCAAATTTTCATGACAGATACCAGGTAATTGATGGCAGGAACCCACACTGGCACCCTTATCATGTGATGAAGCAGAATGGTTCAACAGCGGCTAAAGCTGCCAGCGATAGCGGATAATCCAGGAATGAAGATTAAGTCGAAATTATGCCATCCTATGCCTAACAGCCACCTATGATGCCTCATGCACAAGACACCTGATGCAATACTCAAGTCTCTGTATTATACCGCAGTGCCATTAGGGCATGTCAGATAAGCAAAATCAGGCACGTCCAGACTGGCTATCAAGCAAGTGTTTGTACAGCGGCTTTCATCACCATGGTATTAGCCGTTTAACTAATACACTGTCTGAACCCCCAATCAATCACCAACTGATCGATACGAAATATACGTTCGAGTACTGCATGTAACTGTATTGAGCCATAAAGAGTTCTCCATAATCTCGTGGTGGTTTCATAAGTAAAGGGAAATAAGTTATGGAACACAAGTACGAATCAAAGAATACGTTTAATTTTACTTGCCAGACACAATTCAGTACGATTGTGTCGATCTCACGGAAATTACGATATTCGGGAGATTCGAAGAAACTCACAACGATAAACTGCCAAGTTTTTTAGTGAAAGTAAAGGGCATCGAAGGATTATGACATCCAAAAGATGAGATGCGGTCATGGAAGATAAAGATGAAGAAGATGGGGAGTTTCAAGAGTTCTTTACTCAAAAAATCCAACAAGTATATACGTGATTTCAAGCAGACAACAACTGTTTACAATGGAAGTAAACGTCACTTGATTTGAATTTAAAGTTATAAGAGATTTCTTTGCGATTCAGAAGCCAGAGCAGAAATACCATTCTGAGGCAAAGGAAATATAAAAGACCATCCAATAATAGAATCTATGAAGTACAAGTAAGCAACGGGTGAGTAACTTCTGGAAGCGAAACAATATTAATAACGTAAACTTGTGACCATGTCCTAATCAAGCAAGATGTACATCGGTGGGTTCCAAACAGAGTTGTCTGAAAAAAGCCAACGGAAAAACAAGGAGTAATTGCTGGCTAAGCTCATCTGGGAGCAGATACACAGTGAAATGAAGAAGCAAAAAGAAAACTATGCGGTCTCTTCAGAATGGGGCTGTGCTATGCGACAGAAGGTACTAGTGCTATTCAATTCATGCGCCGTTCAATGACTAACAAGATCAGTGTCGGCATTCTCTTTTTCAGAGGAACTCATGAAGAATCAAGGACACCATACGTTCAATCTAAACCGAAGCGCTAAGATCATGGAAACGAAGGTTCATCAATGAAACAACAGGAGGGAACTTTGCCAACTTTGACCACGTGACCTGTACTAGCTCGCTGCTGAATATTCTCTGGATTTCACACGATTTTAAGTTCTTCAAATAACTGAAAAGGCAGCTATGCAATTGTAATATATGTTTTAAACGTCACAACTAACCCACATAGATCTCGTAATGGTCTCTCGTAGAGGAAGCACCAAATTTCTGCTAAACTGCAATAGAACCTTTTCCAAGAAAGACGTACCCTTACAGAGAAACCGAAAGAGTTATTTCAGTGCTGTTCAACGCAGCGGCCATCATGGGATTAAAAGCTAACTACGGGTGCGCGGAATCAGAGGCATACAGAACTCAACTCTGACTGATTGGATAGAAAGGTTACGCTTAATTTCTAAAGTATTTATTTATATCGACGCTATGCCGTGGATGGCTGAACATGGCCATCATTTGCGATTCAATCGCTGGCGAAATAAAAAAGTAAGCACTACGTTTATTTTCATCAACCACACTTCTACCGGTATCCCGAAATATTTGATTTCTCAATACTTGTTAATTATTTACTTAATTATTTAAAAAATCAGAACGTCGTCCGAAAAAGATGCACTTGTACCTGTTTAAGCGAAGCATACGAGACATGAATGTGTATGGAGATGAAAAGGTAGAGCCTCCAGTTTTACGTTGCTGACGATGAAAATTTTACCTTGATGACGATCGATATGCGGTCGATCGAAACGTTGATACGCTATGGAAACGAACCATTTACTTCTTCATGTAATTAGTCACAGAATTACATAAGAAATGGTCATTGGTTTTGCTCATAATGAATGCCTTCGTCCATGGGACAGGTCTGACTTGATGCATTGAAAAAAATAATTAATTGACTTTCTTTAATGCGAGGCCATTTTTCTGCCAACGACGATGCTGAAAACTGAACATCATGCAACTACTCCGGGCATCTACTATTCACCCTACTAGTTCAGGTCAAAGCGAAACGAAG